TGACAGTCTAGTTGTGACACCAAAACCCAGCCCACTGCTTGAAGTTGACTCAAATTGATGGTGATCCTATGGGATGTTGTGGAACTTTATAAAGGGCCCTTGGCCGCAGTGAGTCTTCATAGAGGCAGACAGTCTCATCTCTCTCTCACGGAGCAGCGGGTAGGGGTGGGATTCTTTTGGTGATCAGCCCAGTGGTTACCCAGGGCTCCACCAGGGCTCCACTTGGAGTACGGACATACGAAATAGTGTTAAGAATTGTCTAGACACTTCATGGCAGTGATACTTAAAAGTTACAGAGCTGTCGACTTGCTTTTTACTACTTCAAATTGCTAGTTCAAACTCACTCCCCAGATGCTTCCTTTTTTCTCTCAGAACTTAAATTGGGCTTAAGGACTTAATGGTCCTTGTGGGACTCAAGTGATTATGTCTTAAAACCCACTGAGTAAGCCTGGCAGTCTTTCAGAAAAAGTCAGTCATGACCCTATAGAATATAGTTCAATTCTGAAACGTGGAGTTGCCATGAACTGGAATTAACTTGATGTCAGCTAGTTTGGTTAGCTGGTTGTATTATTATTATTTTTTTTAAGAAGGACTTAATGATTTGTGTGCTAGCCTTGTGTAGAACTGTAGAGTTAGTCTTCTGATGGATGTGTAAACTTTTCTTTTACTTTTGCCTAGATGACCAAGATGTGATTTTCTGTGGCAGTATACTGGCGTTTTGAGTCCATAAATTACTCTTATCAGATACACTTTATCCAAGAAAGGACCTGCATTTATTTATTTACAAGAAATCTTTGTATTGAAATCATCTGGGTTCACAAGCCATTGGGGTTAAGGACTCTTGAATTCCCTTAAAAGAATATGGTTTGTTGGGGGAGGGCATGGACTAAAGTCCTAGATGAGTATGAATAAGCCAGAAAGATTTTAAGCAGCCTGGTTTTCAGACTGTTGTGGTGAAAATGGAATTGGCTGGCTCCCTTCCCTATTCCCCAGTGAGAACTAGATTGATTATCATCGAAGAGAATGCCTAGTGGTAGAGCACATGTGTTAATAGTGGGATCAATATGGGATTATTGAAATACAAAACAACAACAAAAACCTCAACCTAAACTTACTGCCAGTGAGTTGGATGACAACTCACAGTGGCCCTGTAGGACAAGGTAAATATTGCCCCTGTGGGGTTTCTGCGACTGACTCCTTACAGGAGTAAAAAGCCTCATCTTTCTCTCAAAGGGGTCACGACCCACAGGTTGAGAACCGCTGCTCTAGAGGAAGCCATCTGCTCCTTTTTAGCGTAACTTTCTAGGGTCGACAGCCTTTCTAATTTGATCAGCCTTCTTTACTTAACAAAAATAATTGTTTTGCTTTTAAATTTTGATCAGTATTGCTTATTTTTGTCTGATTTAGATTTTCACACAGGGGGCCCATACTGTTTATATTCTTTTGGGTCTTGTCAGCATTGTTAGTAACACTTCATAGCAGTAACTTGCTTATTTTCATTGCTGTCTAATAGTCCACGGTATAGCTATATAACAATTATTTTTACTTTACAATTGATGAATGCTTGCATAATGTTCGTTATGAGGTTCTTTTTACTTTTGCATTTACAGCAATGCTGCTGGGGATACATCCTTGTGCATATATTCATGCACTTTAAAAACAATCATTTTATTAGGGGCTCATACAACGTTTATCACAATCCATACATACATCAGTTGTGTAAAGCACACTTACTTGTACATTCATTGCCCTTATCATTCTCAAAACATCTGCTCTCCACCTAAGCCCATGGTATCAGCTCCTCATTTTCCCCCCTCTTTACCCGCTCCCCTTTCTCCCCACCTCTCATGAACCCATGATAATTTATAAATCATTATTTTATCACATCTTGCACTGTCTGACTTCTCCCCTTACCCACGCCTCTGCTGTCTGTCCCCCAGGGAAGAGGTTATATGTAGAACCTTGTAATCGGTTCCCCCTTTCCACCCCACCCTCCTTCTACCCTCCCAGTATTGCCACTCACACCACTGGTCCTGAAGGGGTCATCTGCCCTGGATTCCCTGTGTTTCCAGTTCCTATCGTGCCAGTGTACATCCTCTGGTCTAGCCAGACTTGCAAGGTCGAATTCGAGTCATGGTAGTGGGAGCGGGGAGGAAATATTTAGGAACTAGAGGAAAGTTGTATTTCTCAGACTGTATCATCTGTCAATGAGCCTTCATCCAACCCTGATGCAGTGTTCTTCCTATAGTCGTTTCTTGGATTATTTGCTCAGCATACAGACCAAATAAATTTGGGGAAAGGATATAATCTTGACACATACCTTTGCTGATTTTAAAACATACAATATTTTCTTCTTCTCTTTGAACAACTGCCTCTTGTTCTGTGTACAGGTTGCATGTGAGCACAAGTGTATGGAATTCCCATTCTTTGCAATGTTTACCATAGTTTGTTATGATCCACCTAGTTGAATGCCTTTGCATAATCCATAAAACACAAATAAACATTTTTTGGTGTTCTCTGCTTTCAGCCACGATCTGTCATCATCAATGAGTTTCTCCATGCTATGTCGTCTTGAATCTGCCTTAAATTTCTGCCGACTTCCTGTTGATGTATTACTTCAACCATTTTTGAATTATCTTCAGCAACATTTTCTTTGTATATGATACTAATATTGTTTGATAATTTCCACCTGAAGTTGGGTCACTTTTCCGTCTAATGGGTAAAAATATGACTCTTTTACGGTTGATTGGCCAGGTAGCTGCCTTCCAAATTTTTTGATATAGACAAGCATTAAGTACATTAAAAATAAAGAAGTTACAATCCTAAAAATAATTAATCTCACTTGTCCAAAACCAAACCAAACACCCAAACCTCATTTTTCCTCTGAAAACAAAAATGGGAGGTCATAGTGGTAGGGAGCCGTGGGGCACAGCAGGTTAAAAGTTGGGTTCCTAATAGAAACATCCTCCGTTTCAACGTGCTAGACCTAGGTGAGAGAGATGAGGCAGTGTGCTTCCCCGAAGATTTACATCCTCAGAAACCCGGTGGACTACTGCTCTGTCCAAAGAGTGGCTGTGTGTGAGTCAGAAGCGACCTTCTGGCAGTTGCTGGGTGTAGACCAGGTGTGCTCTTTCGGGTGCTGACATCTTAGAATATTATACTACCCTGTTTCCCCGAAAACAAGACAGTGTCTTATATTAATTTTTGCTCCCAAAGATGCACTAGGTCTTATTTTCAGGGGATGTCTTATTTTTCCATGAAGAAGAATACTGTATATTTAGTATCTTATTAAGAGACCTCGCACTTCCTGTCTGCTCTGGCTGCACTGCTGCCAACAGTGAGCTGCGGCGACACCCGCTGCTACGGTCCAGAGTCCAGAGTTACGGTAGCATCCGGGGGCCTTATTTTCGGGGGGGATGCCTTATATTTCAGCGAGAGGCAAAACTGTAAGTAGGTCTTATTTTCGGGGGATGTCTTACTTTCGGGGAAACAGGGTAGGTCAAAGCCGCCAGCTGGAAGGCAGAGAGCGGCTAAACTTAACCATATACTCTACGTCTAGGAACTATAGTAATAATTTGGTCACAGGCTTTTTGAAAATGGTGAGGATAGGACAGCCCTGTAACTTTGCACAACGCCAGGAACCGAGGAGGCGCTAAATAAATGTTGAATGAATACCCGGGACCTACCACGCCCCCAGGTGCAGCTAGGTCCAGACGCGTGGTCCATTTCAGGACGCGGAACCAACCTAGAATGCCCCATCTCCCGCCTAACCAAGTCTAAACTGGTGTCTACACAGCAGTCCCCAGTAGCGAGGGAACTAGGTTTTCTGCAAGGATCCGGGACGGGCATCCACAGTGAACGCCCCAACCATGATTAGGGCCAGTACCAAATGCCGGAGCGCCAGCCACTGCTTCCAAGCTGCTCCAGTTAATCTTTCACAAGGTGGGTGGTCCAAAGAGAGTCGGAACTTCCGGGCAGCCACGTTCGTCTGTGGAAAACCCCCCCAAAAAACCTCTCCCAACTCTTCCTACGGCAGTACTTCGTTGCCAGGGCAACTGCGGGCGTCACCAAGTAGACAGCGGAAAGAAGAGCAAGTACACGTCTCCAGCCTGTGACTGACCTATTGCGCAGTCGCACGAACTCTTTTGAGGTGCAGTTTGCGGCCCTGCGCTGCCCTCTGCGCTTGCGCCGTGGTGACGACGCGCCCAGGTCTGCTTCTACGCCTGCGCGGCATTGGCCTCCGGCGGAGGGCGGGGCGGGGCCGTAGCCGTGCGCAGGCGCAAACGGTACATCCGGCTCGGCCGTCGGCTCCGCCGGGACTTCCTTGAGCGCGGAGCGGAGAAGGGAGCGAGCGGTCATGTCGGCGTCGGTGGTGTCGGTGATCTCGCGGTTCTTAGAGGAGTACTTGAGCTCCACGCCTCAGCGCCTGAAGCTGCTGGACGCGTACCTCCTGTATATACTGCTGACGGGGGCGCTGCAGTTCGGTTATTGTCTCCTCGTGGGCACTTTCCCCTTCAACTCCTTCCTCTCGGGCTTCATCTCGTGTGTGGGGAGCTTCATCCTGGCGGGTAATGGTTCTGTTAGTATTCGCCCTAATCATGTGTTCCTGTGGTGCGTTGCCTTGTATTCTCACCACACACTTCGCCATTTCATATGTCAGGTCACCTCCCCGTTTAGAGAAGACCCTGCCCTGTTCTCTTGGTGAATGGTCAGTTGGGGCTCAGAAAAATTGGATGTCCCCTGCCACGCAACTCCTTAGGAGCTGGGTTTAAATGTCTAAGGAAACCACCTCATGCCAGTGATCTGTCCCACATCAGATTGACCCCATTCCAAATCACCCTTCAAACTTCTTCAAGGTTGATAGGTTTTTAAAGTAAAACCTTTCCTCGGTCACATTTTAGAGCATCACTAACCTTGGAGCAATAACTACTAACAACCAGTGAAAAGTTTCAGTGAATACTGTATACTGTGAGGAATGCTTTCTATTGGTGAGCCTTCCCATACTTGACTTTGGCTTTGAACGATTCCTCCTTATTTTCCTGTGGATAAAGTTGTTGCAGTATCTTGAACTCAATTTTTAGTCAGGCAGTTCTCGAAGTTATTCTTCCTTTTGATTTCCAGAATTTGATTTCCTTTTAATCAAAGTTAATGAGAACTGACCATCCCCATGCATTTTTGCCAAAATCTGACCCAGCATAAAAGTCATTCGATGAATTCCGAGTCCAAACTTAGCCCAGGGAAGTTGTTAGTCACTGCTTCTTGACTTGAAAACATGCCAGAACGTATGTTTTGTATGTAACCTCCGCGCCCCCCTCCCTCCCTTTACCAGGTCATCAATTGAATTTGCTTCTAGAACAAGGTATTGTGGTATACATGGACCTGCACCAAAAGTTGACAGTCTAGTTGTGACACCAAAACCCAGCCCACTGCTTGAAGTTGACTCAAATTGATGGTGATCCTATGGGATGTTGTGGAACTTTATAAAGGGCCCTTGGCCGCAGTGAGTCTTCATAGAGGCAGACAGTCTCATCTCTCTCTCACGGAGCAGCGGGTAGGGGTGGGATTCTTTTGGTGATCAGCCCAGTGGTTACCCAGGGCTCCACCAGGGCTCCACTTGGAGTACGGACATACGAAATAGTGTTAAGAATTGTCTAGACACTTCATGGCAGTGATACTTAAAAGTTACAGAGCTGTCGACTTGCTTTTTACTACTTCAAATTGCTAGTTCAAACTCACTCCCCAGATGCTTCCTTTTTTCTCTCAGAACTTAAATTGGGCTTAAGGACTTAATGGTCCTTGTGGGACTCAAGTGATTATGTCTTAAAACCCACTGAGTAAGCCTGGCAGTCTTTCAGAAAAAGTCAGTCATGACCCTATAGAATATAGTTCAATTCTGAAACGTGGAGTTGCCATGAACTGGAATTAACTTGATGTCAGCTAGTTTGGTTAGCTGGTTGTATTATTATTATTTTTTTTAAGAAGGACTTAATGATTTGTGTGCTAGCCTTGTGTAGAACTGTAGAGTTAGTCTTCTGATGGATGTGTAAACTTTTCTTTTACTTTTGCCTAGATGACCAAGATGTGATTTTCTGTGGCAGTATACTGGCGTTTTGAGTCCATAAATTACTCTTATCAGATACACTTTATCCAAGAAAGGACCTGCATTTATTTATTTACAAGAAATCTTTGTATTGAAATCATCTGGGTTCACAAGCCATTGGGGTTAAGGACTCTTGAATTCCCTTAAAAGAATATGGTTTGTTGGGGGAGGGCATGGACTAAAGTCCTAGATGAGTATGAATAAGCCAGAAAGATTTTAAGCAGCCTGGTTTTCAGACTGTTGTGGTGAAAATGGAATTGGCTGGCTCCCTTCCCTATTCCCCAGTGAGAACTAGATTGATTATCATCGAAGAGAATGCCTAGTGGTAGAGCACATGTGTTAATAGTGGGATCAATATGGGATTATTGAAATACAAAACAACAACAAAAACCTCAACCTAAACTTACTGCCAGTGAGTTGGATGACAACTCACAGTGGCCCTGTAGGACAAGGTAAATATTGCCCCTGTGGGGTTTCTGCGACTGACTCCTTACAGGAGTAAAAAGCCTCATCTTTCTCCCAAAGGGGTCACGACCCACAGGTTGAGAACCGCTGCTCTAGAGGAAGCCATCTGCTCCTTTTTAGCGTAACTTTCTAGGGTCGACAGCCTTTCTAATTTGATCAGCCTTCTTTACTTAACAAAAATAATTGTTTTGCTTTTAAATTTTGATCAGTATTGCTTATTTTTGTCTGATTTAGATTTTCACACAGGGGGCCCATACTGTTTATATTCTTTTGGGTCTTGTCAGCATTGTTAGTAACACTTCATAGCAGTAACTTGCTTATTTTCATTGCTGTCTAATAGTCCACGGTATAGCTATATAACAATTATTTTTACTTTACAATTGATGAATGCTTGCATAATGTTCGTTATGAGGTTCTTTTTACTTTTGCATTTACAGCAATGCTGCTGGGGATACATCCTTGTGCATATATTCATGCACTTTAAAAACAATCATTTTATTAGGGGCTCATACAACGTTTATCACAATCCATACATACATCAGTTGTGTAAAGCACACTTACTTGTACATTCATTGCCCTTATCATTCTCAAAACATCTGCTCTCCACCTAAGCCCATGGTATCAGCTCCTCATTTTCCCCCCTCTTTACCCGCTCCCCTTTCTCCCCACCTCTCATGAACCCATGATAATTTATAAATCATTATTTTATCACATCTTGCACTGTCTGACTTCTCCCCTTACCCACGCCTCTGCTGTCTGTCCCCCAGGGAAGAGGTTATATGTAGAACCTTGTAATCGGTTCCCCCTTTCCACCCCACCCTCC